TGCTTCTTTCTCTGCAGTCTCACTTTCTACAGCCTCTCTCTCTCTGTCTTATTCGATGGAACATTCTCTAAAGGCATCACTAAATCTCTTTCAGTCTGCTGGCTGTGTGGTGTTTACTGTTATATCCAGTTTATTTTCGCTCATGTCTCCTTTCCCCTCGTCCTCCAGTCCTCTTCTTTCTGTAGACTCTTGTCACGGTTCCTTTCCAGGACGTGCAGAAATAAAAGATATCGATTGAGCAGAGTTTTTAAAGGTTGAGTAGAGCGCGTGTGGAAGTGGAGCTGTAGCGTTCCTCTCCTCCTCCTGTTGAGAGCGATATGGAGACGCTTTTCTTTCGACTGGGTTACTGTACTGAAGCTTTCTTGTTTGTTCAACAATTAGCTGTAATCCTGTTAGTGGTGTGTGGAGTGCGTTTAGCTCCGACGCTGTGTTGGTTACGGGGTTTGGAGATGATTCAAACCGCTGATCCACTCTACAGCTCCCACATCACAGCTGAGGGGGAGGCTGCAGGAGCACTAATGTTCAGACTGAAAAGAGAAGCTAGCAGGTTAAGGAAGACTTTTTTGAGATTTTCTTTGAATTTCAAATTATTTCCTTTTAAAAAACAACAGTAATAATAAAGATGAACATCAGCAAAAAATGTGAATACTATAACTGTCATTTTAATTACCAAAATGTGCAAACGTGACCAATGATTGAAAGGGTTTAGTGCTTCACAGGAAGATTAAAATGTAGGTTCAGATATAAACAGATATAAACAGAATACAATGGAAAAAATGACAACACTGACAAAAGATAATTCAACTAATGAAAATACAGGAACACCAAAAACATGCAAAATGCAGAAAGATCTACTCTGAATTATTCAGTAACTAATAACTACTGTGAATTATTTAGTAACTCCTATGAATTATTCAGTAACCGTTGTGAATTATTCAGTATCTTCTTTGAATTATTCAGCATCTACTGTAAATTAATCTATCTACTCTAAATTAATCAGTATCTACTATGAATTATTTAGTATATACTGTGAATGTTTCAGTATCTACTCTGAATTACTCAGTATCAACTGTGGATTATTTAGTATCTGCTGTGGATAAATCACTGTCTACTGTGAATTATTCAGTATCTACTCTGAATAAATCAGTAACTACTGTAAATTATTCAGTATCTACTGTGAATTATTCAGTATATACTGTAAATTACTCACTATCTACTGTGAATTATTCAGTATCTACTGTAAATTAATCTATCTGCTATGAATTGTTCAGTATCTACTATGAATTTTTCAGTATCTACTCTAAATCATTATCTAATGGGAATTATTCAGTATTTACTCTAAATGAATCAGTATCTACTGTGAATTATGTAGTATATACTGTGAATATTTCAGTATCTACTGTGAATTTTTCAGTATGTACTGTAATTTGTTCAGTATCTATTGTAAAATAATCACTATCTACTGTAAATGATTCAGTATCTACTGTGAATTATTCAGTATGTACTGTGCATTATTCAGTATCTGCTATGAATTACTCAGTATCTAATGTGAACTTTTCAGTATCTCCTGTGAATGAATCAGTATCTATTGTAAATTATTCATTATCTTTTGCGAATGAATCACTATCTACTATTAATTATTCAGTATCTACTCTAAAATTATTAAGTACTGTAAATTATTCAGTATCTAGTCTGAATTAATTAATGTCTACTGTGACTGTTATTATCTGCTGTGAATTATTATCTACTGTGAATTATTCAGTATCTACTGTGACTGTAGTGTTCAGGTTCTGTATTTAGGGAGTGAGGAGCTAGTGTGTGGGCCTGCAGTTTAAGGGACTAAAAAGGTGCATTTCAGACCTGCTATGAGATTTTTAGGTAGAGAATTCCAGAGCTTGGTGCCATAATAACCGGAGCTGCTACCTCATGTAGGTCTGTTTGTTAATCCGTAGAGGCGGTGCAAACTTATCTGGGTCGTAAACACGTTTATAGCTGCGGCGGTAAGACGTGTGTGGCATTCAGCGAGGCAAACAGAGCCTGAAACAGGCCTGAATGTTAAAACACGCCCGTCTAGATCGTGATTTACAGCCGCTTAGATAATTTGCCTCGTTTAAATTTATATCCCACCGTGGGTGATGGCCTCTCGATAGCAGACGGGAATCTGCTCGTTTGCATGGCAGGGGATGTTTCCTGGTGATGAAGTTGCTTAGAACCTTTTTCAATTTTCAGCGTTTCTGATGCTGATAGTGCAGCTTTTTTTTTTTTGCACTTTTGTTTGGGACTGTATTGCTTTTCATGATGTCTGAACTACAACTGAAGGTACTTCATAGGTGTCTTTGTTTTGGTGTATATGATGACTAACCATGCACTATAACACCTGGAGTGTTCTTTGGTCTTATTGAACAGAGCCAAGTTTGCCAAAAACGTCTTTGGCTGGCTTTACATGTTGTGAGTTGCCTGCTTGACGGTTACACAAAACACTTCAAAACCAAAGTTGGATGCAACACATTTGATTACCCAAATTAGCAGCCTGTGTTCTTTGATACACAGTGTCATTCTTGCTCAAGTTTTCCACGAGGTGTAATTTAAGTATTTGTTTTTATTGTATATTTTATTTATTGTATATTTTTCTAGCTGTTCTTTTCTTTAATATCTATGGTCTTTTAGTTTTTATCTGTTATGTAGATGTTAAATGTTTAAAATGAATGTCTGAGTAGCTGCTTAACATTAGCAGTAGCAGCTTACCATTAGTTGATGTCTCTCTTATCACGTCCTAGAAGCGCATGGCTGACTGCATCTTGATTTCCTTTTCTGTAATTATTTTAATTTCCTTCGGATCCCAAATGAATGTGAGCTCTGTGTAAAATTAGGGGGTGTTGAGAGAGAACAAAATAAATCTAGCCAAACCATCATAACACCAGGCTAAAGAAGAGTAAGTGATGGCACAAGCAGCCGTTTACATAGCTGTTAGTGTCGGCTAGTTAACACAGTTGGTTACAGAAACATTGTAGCTTTAAGAATCTCACACTTGTTGTCATGGCTCAGCTGACAAAATGAGAAACTGTCAAACTTGAGTGGGTCAGTGGGGGGGTTTCCTTTTCACCCACCCAAATAAAACAACTTCTGATTCGTTTTCTTGTCCACTGATCCTGTGAACTCAATGTTTTGAAAGTACGTTGTTCAACTCGATCACGTAATATTACCGTTTTGATTGTTTCATGAAACTTGCTTCACAAACTTGAGCCACTTGGAACCATTGCGGCTGAGTTTCAAGTGAGTCGCGAGACGCTGTGCATTACGCAGCTCAAGTGCAGTTTAGTTGCATGCAAGTTTCAAGCAACTGAAGTTGCACCTAACTGTCCAAAACCAGCCTAATTAATATATCATCTTAAAGAAATCATCAAAAGGTCTAATTTACCCATTTTCCACTTATCTCAGATGAGTCACTCGATCAGTCAAGAAACGTTTGGAAGCCAAATTTTGCTTCGTTGGTTTAGCTCTGGAGCTGCGAGGCTTGCGTGGCTAACAAACACCAGACATCAATAGATACCCAAACTGTTTCTGTAAAAATACATCAACAAAGCGTCTCTCATCCTGCTCAAACCTCATTCAGGTCTTCATTAAGGACGCACAGACTTGTGGATGTGATTTAGGACGCAGTATGTCATACTCTGAGCTATAAAAAGAGGGAAGTTGTGCAAATTTTATTTTCCACAGATCCGTTGTTTAACTGGGAGAGATAGTGTTCAGTGTGATGCTTGCTCTGCTGTTTAAGAGTCATCTTTTTGCTAAGATGCTTTCAGGTAACCCAGCCCAGCAAAGCAAAAATGCCCTAAACATTGTATTGAATGTGCTTTAATATTGGCAGTGCCTTCCTCCAAAAAAGACTTTGTGGACTTTTGTGTTGCGGATAGGGCTCATAATGTCATGATATTTTGACAGACATCATTGTCATATGTAATTGCAATCAACTATTTAATTCCTTTTTTGTTTATTGTATACAACTATTAAAATGCAGTTATGAAGTGGCTGAAATTACTGATTAGCCATCACAGAATTCAAGCCACATTGAAATACTGTCACTACAATGGAAAACGCAAAATGCCATGTGCACCTGATGTCACTTTTCCATAGCGCAGGGGTCGGAAAGATGTGGCTCTTTTACTGCCCTCTTGTGGCTCCAGCAGAATTAGACTTCTAGGTAAAAATATAATTATCCTCCTTTGTAGTAAAAAAAAACTCTGATAGTTGTTCTAATGATCTTAAATGCTGGAGTTAATGTATATCTGCTAATTCACCCTTTAATCCTGAAGGTTGGCGCGCAGACTGCTCGTCACCATAGCAACGCAGAAAATAATCTCGCCTAGCTAGTAGCTAACGAAATGGCAAAGAGAAAGATTCAAGATGAACACTGATGATTTGGATGATCGATGAGCTGAAGTTAGCTTCTCATTCACAGTTTCTCATCTGAAATTTCCCAGTCCACCTTAAATGGTGCAGCAGCTACATTCTGTCGTATCAAACACCATTTAAGGTGAAACGGAAAAATTCGAAAAAGATGCTGGCGAAGAAGAAGCTGCCATCCCCTGAGCCGACAGGGCATGACGGAAGTGCCCTTGAGCAGGGCACCTAACCCCAGCTGTTCCCCGGGCGCTATGGATAGGGCTGCCCACCGCTCTCAGTTTGCTCACTGCCCCCTAGTGTGTGTTCACCAGTGTGTATGTGGTGTTTCACTGCATGGATGGGTTAAATGCGGAGGTGAATTTCTCTGTTGTGGGACTAATAAAGGGTAACTTACTTACTCACTTAACTTTAACCTCAGCAGGATGAACGCATGAGTTTACAGTAACAGCTTTCAAAACCAGGGCTGAATTCATCTGATTTCCTTTACAAATGTTCATTCAATCAGTTCATGATTTTTTATGTACGCTCAGTTCTCCATCGTCTCCATTGCCATTTTTAACTCAGGCTCTTCTTTCTGTTCATCCTCCTCTCCACAGAAAAGAAGGAGGTGACGCAGAGTCTGGAGAACTACACGTCCAAATGTCCTGGAGGAATGAACATCATCACTCTTCCAGATGGACTCAAACTGCCCCCGGTGCCCTTCACTAAACTGCCCATCGTCAAGTGAGTGGAATATCTCTAGAACCAATAACAGCACTTTGAGAAACGTCTCAGAAACAGAACACAGTCTAGAACACAACTAATATGATACAGTTCTAGAAAACAAAAAAAAACATAGAGCAGTTCTAGAACACAGATGCAGCAGTTCTCGAAACATAGAAACCATGATGTAGTTCTAGAACATGGATGGAACACATGCCTAGAACTCAAATGGAGCAGTTCTAGAACACACAGGCAACATATGTCTATAACTCAGAGATACAATTCTAGGACACACAAACCCAGCGCTTTTCTAGGACACAAAGCGTGACAGTTCTAGAACACAAAAATGTGATAGTTCTGGAACGCAAAACATGATGCAAAGCTAGAACACAAAAGCAAACAGTTCCAGAACACAAACAGCATTCTAGAACACAAAAACATCAACAGAGTTCTAGGTCACAAAAATGTGACGTGTCTAAAACATTAAAGCTACAGTTCAGTTCTAGGACGCAGCTCTAGAACATGAAAACCATCATACAGTTCTAGAACACATAGACCAAGCAGTATAAAGAGAAAACAGAACAAAGTTCTAGAACATGAAAATGCGACCCAGTTCTGCAGTACAGAACACAATGCAATTCTAGAACACAAAAGCACAACACTGTTACAGAACACAAAAATACAATGAAACTCAAGGACACCATAACACAAACCCAGCGCCTCACTAGGACACAAAATGTGTGCAGTTCTGGAACACAAAACACAATGCAGTGCTAGAACACATGAAGTTCTTGGACACAAAAATGGAACACACGTCTAGAACATTAAAGCTACAATTCACTTCTAGGACACAGTTCTAAAACATGAAAACCATGATACAGTTCTAGAACACACAGACTCAGCACTTTTCTAGGACACAAAACGTGATGGTTCTAGAGCACAAAAGTGTGATGTAGTTCTGGAACACAAAACCCAATGCAATTCTAGGTCAGAAAAGCAAGCAGTTCTAGAACACCAAAAAAGCAGTTCCAGAGCACAAAAACACACAGTGTTCTAGAACACAACAACACCAACAGCGTTCTAGAACACAACACCACCAACAGTGTTCTAGGACACAAAAATGTGACACAGTTCTAGAGCAGTATGAAAATGCAGCCTAGTTCTGCAATACAAAACAACACGAAAATGCAGTGTATGAATGTTTTTGAAGACCACGGAATTTTATGTTTTTTATTTTCGAATTGATTGAAATCTGATTAAACTCATCAACTGTAATTATTAAGACGTGAAAGGATGCAGTCAGACGGCAAAGAGTCAGCCGGGCACTGCAGTGGTCATTCAGGACTGAAGTTTGACTCTTTTAGAAGTTGTCATTCCATCCCTTTTTAAACTTCATGAAACATGAACTAAGGGGGGGCTTCCTCAGTAGCAGTAAGTACAGAACGTTCCAGTCTTTATCTGGAGAAAATGGAGTAGATCCAGAGAGTTTATTTTCTACAGTGTGTAAAGGTGACACGAGATGTTCCCTCCTTTTCCTTTTCGAGTCGTGGGATTGACAGCAGGCCAGTTAAACCAAATAAATGAATAAATGAATAAATTACTGGGCACCTTTAACAGAGCTACCTCACAGCAGGACTATGCAGTACCGTGTGTTAGCCACAGCCAATCAGAGCGAGGTTTGCTTATCAGTCCTCCACAGGTCTGCACTGTAAACCGTGTAGCCAGTACAGTGGACAAGGACACCTGGGGAGAGAATATAACCTCTGTATGAGCCTTTGGTCACATGTTTGAGTTTCACTGGAGTTCTGGCTCTACATTACTTTCCGTGGGCTCTTCAGCCCGAACACTGAGATCAAACATGACCTCGCCGTCCTGAATGTACTTCACTGTAACTTTTAACACACGGCTGTTGAAAGTTTCAGAATAGTTGTTATGCGCAACAAGAGAGATGGTTGTGAATTGCCAAAATAATGAACACGATTGGAAAGGTTTGGATCTAATATAAAGTAGACTTAAAAGAAAGGGCGAGACTGCAGACGTCTAAGACCGCCCCTCATTTGTGTTATTTCCAATCAGAACAGCCATTAAGTCTTAGTTATTCATTTTTCATTGTCAGCAAAGACAAGACAAAACATATATTTAACAGAAATTTACACAGAAGCCTCAACAACCAAATATAACATCAGATTTTTTCAGTCTTTATTGGATCCACTCTTTCACCTTTATTACAGCCTCCATTCTTTTCAGGAGACTCACTTTGAGTTTCTCTGAGAAACCTGCAGGGATATTTTCCACACCTCCAAAGTTCAGTCTTAGAAGCTGGTTTTGCATTTTCTGAAGTAATCAAACCCATTCAGTGGTGTTGAGGTCTGGACTCTGGGGTGGTCAGTCCATCGTTCAGCTTCTTTGTTTGATGTGTCCGTCTCCTTTTCTCAGTGAGGTTCTTCTTGACAGCTAAGTCGTTCTCAGTCGCTGAGTGGTCTTCTCTCAGTGGAAGGATGGACAGAAACACCTGTGGATGTTTTCAGATCTGAAGCCGCTTGATTTTCTCCTCTCTCTCAAAGATGAAAGCTTTAAGTGCTGCTTATCTGAGGGGGACAGTGTTGGTGTCTACCAGGTCTTCCAGGTGGTTGTTAGGAGTCACATTTTCTCTGCAGTTCTTAATCATTTTGTAAACTCCAGTTTTGGAAACTTCATTTATTTTCTTTTGACATTCTCATTTCTCATAAGTGGATTATTATTATTATGTAATCTAGTCAGAAACATCTGCTGAAAATGAGCAGCTTGTTCTTAACGTTTGCTTTGTAAATTGGAAAAGTAAATAAAAATGTATAAAGTGCTTCAGATGACCAGTAAAACGTGGGGTACTGCTGTTTGACACAAGCTTGATGTGTACAAAACATAAAAACCCATAATTAAACGTGAAATTGATAGGAGCAATTATTCCTGAATCTGCAGAAGAAAAATATTTACAAGTAATCCCAAACACGTTTGTTGATGTTGAGGTCTCAACAGACACTTCTGTAGTTCATTGAAAGTAATAATGATAATAATAAAACGTTCTGAACTTTGTAATAATTTGAGCAGAGTAATTTGTGGAGTTTGTGTTTTTTGTACTTACATGTTTTCAAAACCTGTTAACGCTCACGCTGTATTTTCATTGCAGAGAGTCGAAACGCTTGCTTTGACCACTGTTAGCCTCTTTGGAGGCGCGTCACTAAAACACACACAGGTTGAGGTGCAAAGAGGGAAGGTGTGTGCAGAGCTGTAGGCCAGTTCTGTTCAAGGAAGCAGCCTAATATTGTTTTTAAACTTAATAAATCAACTAGTGTAGTAACGGTGCTTTATCAGCCGTCAGTCCCACTCAGAGTGTGTTCCAGTGTTAAATCTCAGCTCGTGTCTGTGGGCGTGACACAATCCACATCAACAATCTGATTGGTCGACGCTCAGGTCATTTGCATGAAGTTCGTCCAGAACAGAGCAGTGAGAGGATGTGCATCAGGGTTTGAGGTGTCAGTCAGGTGTGGCGCCTCATTATGGCAGTTATGACACAATCTGTTTGATGTACAGGCAAATCATTTTGCATGATGCCATCGTTTACATCATTTTTGTCTTTCCTTTTTTCTCTCTCTATCTCTGTCTGTTTCTCTTCCGCTATCTCTATCTCTTTCTCTATCTCTTACTCTCTCTATCTGTGTATATCTCTGTTTCTGTTTCGATCTCTTTCTCTCTATCACTCTCTCTTCTATCTGTCGATCTCTCCTGTCTCTTTCTCTTGCTCTCTCTCCACCTCTGTCTCTCTCTCTTTTGCTATTTCTGTCTTTTTCTCACTCTCTCTTCTATCTGTCTATCTCTCCCTTTCTGTATTTCTGTGTCTCTTTCTCTTGCTCTCTTTCTATCTCTGTCTCTCTCTCTTTTTTGCTACCTCTACCTGTCTCTTTCGCCATCTGTCTCTTTCTCTCGCTCTCTATCTTGTCTATCTTTCGCTATCTTTATCTCTTTCTCTACTTCTTTCTCTCTTTCTCTCGCTCTCTATCACTATCTCTCTTTCGCCACCTGTCTCTCTCTTTCTCTCGCTCTCTCTATCTGTATATCTCTCTGTTTCTCTTCTGTCTCTCTTTTGCCATCTCTCTCTTTCTCTCTCTCTTGCTCTATCTCTCTTGTCGTTTCTCTCTCTCTCTTTCGCTATCTCTCTCTCTCTCTCTCTCTCGCTTTCTTTCGCTCTTTCTCTCTCTCTCTCTTTCTTTCTCTCTCTCTCTCTTTCTCTCTCTCTCTCTCTCTCTCTCTCTCTCTCTCTCTCTCCCTCACCGTAGGTCCGTGTCTCTGTTGAATCTGCCGGCGAGTCTTCGTCCTCATAAGGTGAAGGGTCTCCTTGGTCAGGGCGTGACGTCGGCGAGCCCCTTCATCTACTCCCCCATCACCTTGCACAGCAGAGGAGACGACCGCACCAAGAAGATCGGTGCGTTAGCAAAGCCCTTTTCTCTCTCCAGGGCCTCTTTCTCTAACACTTCACTCCAGCCCCTTTTTCTGGGCTTAAAGATGATCTGCATTTTCTAGAAATCACTGCAGTGACAACCTTTACAGTGTTCATGTCCAAGTGTTGTCATGTCAGTGTTGACGTTGGGAGCCTTTCGGCTGCTTCTTCAGATGTGACACTCATTTGTTTTGTTCGTGACACGTCTGGTCAAAGCTGATCGCGCGCACAAATTACACCAGCAGTTTTATTATTCATCAGTTTCATCTTCGTGGTCTGAACAGGTCAAACTCACGACTGGTGGAAGTGCGTATAAAGTTGAGCATGAGATTTTAACAGCCTGGAAAATGTCTGATTTGTGGTTAATTAATCAAAATTCTTGTCAGTGAAATCACTAATGTCAGCAACGACAGTAAAAATAGAAAATAACGATGATAACACTAGTAGCACTCAGCACTCAGCACTCCTTGTGCTGAAGTAGATGTACTTCTTTTTTTATGTGCACACTGATATAAACATATGTGTGACTATGTTCCATTTAAAGACTTTTGCTTTACACTACAGATATAGTAATAACTGCCGCCCACAAAATGCAAACATGGCTTACTTAGTACAATAGACGCCCCTCGTATACTGCAGTGTTGCCTCTCAAGCAGCCAGAGTTTATGAAAATACTCACAATCACATCACCATCTGAAAAAAGGCTACACTTTGTTAAGTTCATGTTTTATTCTTTGCTGTCGTTGTAACTGACTCTGTAAAACTATTTCAACTCTGACCATTAGGGGGAGCAGTGCTGCTCCTGCTCAACCCACAGACCTATGAAGACCACCGCTGGCTCATGAGACTGAATGCTTTTCTTGTATTAGCTTACTATCAAAGCATTAGCGTGAATTAGGGTGTGTTTCATTATTTGTATATGAGGGAAATTTGGGCGTGTCCGTTGTAAATAATATGTAAATATGTGCCTTGGTGCCAATTCATCAGTAGTTTAGTAAGCCATCATAGTTTGTACGCCACCCAGGATGGTCAAATCTGCTTCTTTCAACGCAGCTTTTGATGAATAAATGCCACAGAAGAGAGTTTCAGTTTTGCTTTGGGCCACTTTTAATCCTGTCTGATTTTGGTCTAAATATTTATTATATTATTTGTTATGCAGTGTTCTGCAGTGCAGCATCGCAGCCCTCAGCCTGGATTCTGTTTTCTTTCCTATTTTCAACCATCAGTGTCCTCTGCGTAAAATACCCAGCACACATTAGTCGAGTAAGTCTTACGACATCATAAATCCCTCCCCCTCCCACTGCAGTAAACACAACCGGGCCGCTAGCGTCAGCACTGATGTCAAATAAAACGTGATATTGGGCTTCCTAGCCGCGGCATTAGCGAACTGGCTTCTTTCTGCAACTAGCAGACAAGAAAAATACATTTCAGTCAGTCCGCTTTCAAACGTCCAACTCAAAGCAGTTACATCAAAGCAAGCTGCATCATCAGAAGGTTTTTCTAGTCTTCAAATCAGAAAACCTCCCTCTAGAGACCACCGTGTCACTACCGTATGAGGTGAGTAGCTGTGTTTGTAGTAGTGTTCACAACAGATGAAGTAACTGTTACATTTTTCATTTTGGCCACAGTGCCCCTTTAAGAGTCCAGCTCCTCCAACCTTCAAGATACAACATTAGAAGGGCTTTTTCTAGTCTTCAGATCAGATTCAAAATAAAGGTTTATCAAGGTACAAACAATGTAAATGTTCCCTCAAAGCTACAACAGTGGTTTTAAGGTCTGATTGTGAACCTTAAATAAGTTTTTCCAGGTGAAAAGTTTGTATTTGTACCTTTTCATAACCGAATGTTTTAAACAGAACAGTAAAATAAAGTCTGGAGGCGAGACGGGGTGCGTGGAGTCAGTACAGCTTAGAAAATATCATTTCAGTGGATTGTGGTTCAGTTATGTTCCCTGACTAAAGGTCCCGAGATGGACCCACCCCAGTGACAAGAGGGGTCCTGCCCCAGTGACAGTACTGTACCTTTATTTCTGAGAGTGTAGAGACCACAGGCATGTTTACAACAGATCCAGTTAGGTCTCACTACATTGTGACGTTTGAATGGGACGACTGTATAACGGTTTGCTGCATAGCTGATAATATCAACAAATATTAAGGCTGCAAAGCAGAAATGAGACTAATACCTCACAGATAATGTCTTTACAAGTTATGTAGGGCAACCACTTTCACTTGTTAGGTGCTTTTAAGTAGAACAGATAATGTACTTTAATGTTGCTCTTGTTTGAGAGTTACATTATGGCGAGTTATTGATCATGTGCTACTTTATTGTTTTATCAATTTAATGTCGTAACATAATTTATAACTGGCTTTGGTGGCTATTATTTAAATATATCCTCCTCTTTTGTATGTTATTTGGTCCACTTACAGTGTTAGTCATCACTCTTTTCCATCCTCTCTTTATGCATAAACTAGGCTAAGGTTTTTCATACTGTGCCTTTAAGTCTCCTTATAGCTTCACTGTGAATGGGTTAAACTGCTGTAGGTTGAATAGGTGGATATACATAAAAAGTGTTTGTTTCTGTGGCATCACAAAATAGCGGCTCCTAAACAGGGTGGTTGCGGTGTTGTTTCCATATATGGGCCGTATGGACTGGGGACAGAGTGGTACTACAGTAATTTTTGACCTTGTACAAATAAATCGACCATATTTTTAGCTTCTTAATATCAGTGTCAGTGATGAAATGTTCGTATCAGTCAGCCTCGGTCAGTACTTTACTGAAATTACATTTTACACATATCATTCAGAAGGTTTCAGCCCGTTTGACCTTGCTCCACCGGTCCCTGAGTGAAGCTGAACTCTGCGTGTGAGTCTCTGATGGACTTTTTGTCTCCTAATTTTCCAGCGAGTCTGGTATTTATTTTGGCGTGTATTTTTAGATCTGGAGGGTGCTGCAGTTTGGCAGCCGCGCGACCAGGACAGATGGCTGTTCTGCATGAACTTTCTCCGGCTCTTGAAAGAAATAAAGTTGTCCGATAGTCAGCTGCCAGCTTTGCTTGCTCATCTCGGCTCCCGCTGCCAAACGAGGACGACTCTAAGATCAGCAGCGTTCTGTTGCGAACGCGTCGGTGTTTTTCTGTGCTGTTCTGACCACGGCTGAATTCTTAATTTAGCTCTTTGGAGTTTGTGATTTATCTGATTTCTGCTTTCCTGGATTTCTGTTTAGCTGCAAACATAACAGTGACGACCATGTTTTCGGAGTGTGTCTCATGAAAGCTAAAGCACACTGCTGGTCAAAAGTTTGGAGACATTCAATTTTACATTTTTAGTTTGTTTTTTTTTTTAATACAAAAGGGCATGATGTAACACAAACTGTTTAAATCAGGTAATTTCTGTATTTTCTTTCAAGTGAATTTAGAAGTAATGAAGAAAATGCCTGAAAGTTACTTTAAAAGGCTTTACATTCGCTCAGAAACAGTTGAGAAATTGAAAAACATTGACAATAGTTCAACGAATACAGTTCTCCCTCCTGTAATGACCTGGTCTCTGGTATAAATGGTATACATGCTAGATTAAAGGAAATTCTTGACAATATCGCACCAGTCAAATGGAAAACGAACTCATGTACTCATAAAAATCCATGGATGAATGCGGAAACATGCCAGCTGTAGAGAAATTGACATAAATCAGAGCGATTGTGGAGGAAAACTAAACTGCAGATACATTATCAAATTCTCAAAGAGCAGATCCCAATCTGTAATAATGCTATGAAAATGTCTGGACAGCCACACCTCTCTAGTGTAATTAATAAACACAAAGATAATGCAAAAGTCCTTTTTCAGCCATAGATTGACAAATTAACCCCAGCTTTTCTGCTAGTGTGTCTCATGGCGACTGAACAGAGTTTGCAGTTCATTTTCAAAATGAAATAGCCCTGATAAGACAGAGCGGAGCTCAGCTGACTGAAACAAGCTCCTATAACCTTCCTGATAAGCAACCTACATCAGTAATGACATCTTCTCTCTTATCAGTCATCAGGAGCTTACAACTGTTGTAAACAAGCTAAGTTGGTCCACATGTGATCTTGTCCTTGTTCCTACTTCTCTCCTTAAGATGGTTTTTGATTATGGTCAGATTGATGCTTAAAGTATTGTAAATTGTTCTCTGTCAACAGGTGTTTTCCCAGATGTTGACCGCCCTGGTCAAGCCTCTGCTAAAAAAGAGTAGCATGGATCCTTCTGTACTCACTAGACCAATTTCAAACCTTCCTTTTTAAGTAAAGTCTTAGAAAAAGTTGTTTTCAAACAATTAAATGCGTATCTTGTATCAAACAGGTTATATGAGACGTTTCAATCGGGTTTTCGTTCTAACCATAGTACTGAGACAGCATTGGTTTGTGTTGTGAATGACCTCAGGCTCAGCGCTGATGCACAAAATCTCTCTATTCTGGTCTTATTGGATCTTAGTGCAGCTTTTAATACTGTTCATCACAAGATTCTAATCCACCATCTTGAATGCTGGGTCGGCCTCTCAGGTATAGTTTTAGAATAATTTAAAATCATAATTAATAGACAGGTTAATAGACAGTTCATGGTTACTCTGGGAAATTTATCAAAAAACCTTCAGTTTTAGGGCCTTTGCTTTTTTTCTTTGTACATCTTGCCTCTAAGTGATGTCATTAGGAAACATACATTTTCATAGCTATGCTGATGACACCCTGTTATACAGTTCCATTCCCTCTGATAATCAACACTCTGTAGACAGACTAACCAGCTGTGTGTCTGATATTTCTCAGTGGGTGTTGCAAAATTTTCTACAACTAAATCCCAAAAAAAGACTGAAATACTGATCCTTGATACTAAATCTCAGAGAAAGCTGCTTTTTGAGAAATTTGGAGACCTCTCTGGTGGAAATGTGTAGCTGGATGGGAGGTGCAGAAGAACATTTTATGACGTGGGTTGTGCTTCGGACCCCTTCCGTGATTGGATG